AGTTTTCAATAGAGGAGTCTAAAATGGCTGAGAGGCACTTGAGAAAGTGCTCAACATCCTTAGCCATCCGGGAAATGCAAATCAAAGCAACTCTGAGATACCATCTCACTCCTGTCAGAATGGCTAAAATCAAAAACACCAATGACAATTTATGCTGGAGAGGATGTGGTGAAAGGGGGACACTCCTCCATTGCTGGTGGGAGTGCCAACTGGTTCAGCCACTTTGGAAAGCAGTATGGAGATTCCTCAGAAAAATGGGAATAAACCTACCACAAGACCCAGCAACTCCACTCTTAGGCATATATCCAAAAGATGCCCATTCATATAACAAAGATGTCTGTTCCACTATGTTCATAGCAGCTTTATTTGTAATAGCCAGAACTTGGAAGCAACCTAGATGTCCCTCACCCGAAGAATGGATAGAGAAAATGTGGTACATCTACACAATGGAGTACTATTCAGCAGAAAAAAATAATGGAATCATGAGATTCGCAGGCAAATGGATGACACTAGAAGAAACCATCCTGAGTGAGGTAACCCAGTCACAAAAAGAGAAACATGGCATGTACTCTCTCATATATGGATTTTAGACATAGATCTGTGGAGTGCCAGCCTACAATCCTATTGCCAGAGAGTCTGGGAAACAGAAACTTCATTTACTGGCTGGTTAAGTACTGAGCTGAACTCAAGAAAGCCAGTATCAGAGAGGGAGGACTGATGATCAAAGGGATTAAGACTGGGCTGGTTGAACCCCCAGAAACAGCTGACCAGACAAAGGTTAACTCTTGAATCCCAGGCATCAGCCTGGGAATCCAGCATGGGACTGATCAAGACCCCCTGAATCTGGGTGTCAGTGAGGAGGCCTAAGTAATCTATTGAGCCTTGGACAGCAGATCAGTACCCATCCCAAGTATACACACGGTCTCTGGACTCCCATAGAACAATGTGAGGTGCACTCTCACCCTGAACTCTTGGGGAAGGGTCTAGGCCCTGCCCTATATGAAATGACAGACTATGGACACCCCCATGGAGGGCCTCACCCTCCCTGGGGGAATGAGGGGATAACGGGGGGGGGGGGATGGGGGGGAGGGCACGGGAGGAGGGGAGGGAAAGGGAGAGGGACCTCGTACTGACTTGTGAAGCAACCTTGTTTCTTATCTAAATTTAAAATGGAAAATAAAAAAAATATTAATAAAAAAAACCATAAAAAAAAAGAAAGGACTTAAGCACTGAATGATAGGTAGCTCAGTGGTTAAGAACAAGTACTGTTCCAGAGGACTTGAGTTAGGTTGCCAGCACCCATGTCAGGAGGTTCACAACCACCTGTAACTCCAGTTCCAGGGGGATTTGATACCTCTGGCCTCGTGGACACCTGAGTGCACATGGACACATAGTTAAAGACAATGAGATTAGAGTATTAAAAAGAAATGAAAAAGTAGCCATGCCAGCTCAGAAGGTAAGGCAGGAAGATCGTAAGATCAAAGGTAGCCTAGTCTCTTCATACTGAGATTAGCCTTAAGTAAATAGAAAGCATCTTTTGTAGAATAAGACATAGATGTGAGGCATTGGTGTTCATTCATCAGGGAAAAGCCACATTTGTGGTATCAGAGAAAAGAGCATTTTCAGAAGGTGAGGTTACAGTTGGAATTTACACCATGAATATTTTTCTTAGAGTGTAATAGAAACATCTTAAGGTGTGTAGAGGAAGAGAAGAGGACTATTATAGTAGCAGGAAAGAGCAAAGAACTCCAAGTCTTTATGGCAAGGATTCTGTACTGAGGTTTAGCTGCATGCAAGGAACCTACAGATTCTTTGAGGAAAATGAGATTAACAGCCAAAATATTTATTCCACCTATAGTGATCCATTACATGAAGTAAAGGGCTAATTCATTCCCAGAGCTGTCATCACTATAAACTTTTTGATCTACCATGGAGTATATGGATGGTTATTTAGGCTTTTCACAACTGAATTGAAATCATACTTGGTGATAGAGAATCACCCCCCACACACACACACACATGTATACATACATACTCACATTCTCTTGTGCAGGGGTTCAGACCCAGGGCTTCAGTTGTGCTTAATTGCTCTCACATCTTTAATTTATACTTTGATTTGTTTTACAGTTTTGCTGTTTATTTATTCTCTGCCATGCTACTTTGAGTTTAGGAATGATAAGCATTTAACTGTATCACTAGGAAACACTGGAAATTTAGACTGTTGACTCCATAAACAAAGTGAGCTCAGCAGCTGTACTTTCTTAGTTGTGTTCTCAGGACAAATGCTCACTTCCTGGACTCAGCCGAAGAATAGAGACGTCAGGGCTCTTAGGAGAGTTGCAGTCATCCAAGTGGCAAATAGGGTGAAGTGTTTTCTCTTTTATCCCAGATTTGGGCCCTCATAGGCCAGTTTTCTGTAATTTTAGTTCTAGAAACTGTCAGTGCTCACACCATGGAAAGAGCCATACTGTGAAATGTTACACCTGCTGTTTTCTTGTGTGTGTGTGTGTGTGTGTGTGTGTGTGTGTGTGTGTGTGTGTGTGGTGTGTGTGTGTGTTTGTGTGTGTGTGTGTTTAATACAAGGTCTTACTATGTAGCCCTGGCCGTCCTGATATTACCTGTGTAGCTGAGATTGTGTTTAAACTCACAGCAGTCCCCCTTCCTCAGTCTCCAGAGTGCTGGGCTAAGAGATGTGCCCCACCATGCCCAACAAGAGATGTCTTTTAAAAGAATATTGTCTACTGAAAGTCGCAGCATAAAAACACACTGCAATCTTTCATAGATGTGTAGTGAGGATAGTGCTGGCCAGCCATTCAGAGATGCAATACTAAAGGGTAGAATGGAATAAACAATGAAAAGACGGGACCAGACTGCTTTTCTCAGAATGTGATGGCCTTGTGTTTCCCTGTAATCTCAAAGCATTATAAAACTTTATATTAGTGATCATTAACATTTTACATTTTATACGTCTGCCTTCTAGTGTGAGCACTTGCCAGAATATTATTTGAGGAAGTTAGGTGAGTGTGTGTGTGTGTGTGTGTGTGTGTATGTATGTATGTATGTATGTATGTATAAAATAGAACAGTCCAGAAATAAACCTATATACATATGGCCTTTATCTCTGATAAAGACACAAAGTAAGTCAAAGAAAGGCTAGTCCTTTTGCGGGACAGGCTACACATGTGTGCATAGTGCATGTGAGCAATCAGTGTGAATGCCAGAGGTTGACATCAGGTGTAAAGCAGGTGTAAACTGTACCTTGTTTGTTGAGACAAGGTCTCTCACTGAACCCAAAACTTACCAGTTGACTAGACTGGCTGGTCATTAGGCTCCATGGATCCACCTGTCTCATCTGGCTTTTACTAAGCCTCAGTATCCAAACTCAGGTGCTCTTGCTTGAACAGCAGGCACTTTACCCAGGGAAGCATCTCTGCCATCCAAGGATACTCTTCTCAACAAGTTGCTTTGAAGTAGTCACCTGTTGTTGCCACCCACCTCTCTCTTTCCCACAGACACACCAAAAACCTTGGCATAAACCAAAAGTTACTTCCATTCACAAAAATCACTGCTACACTGGACTTCATCAAAATTAGAAAGTTTTTCTTTGCAGAAAATCTTAGAAACCCAAAAGGTAGTGACTGACTGGAAGAAAGCAGACTATTGAAATACAAATCATACATCTACAATGGGATACATGTGGAAGCCATCTAGGGAAAAGCCTACATAGTTACTTAAAATATCTTTAGTCAGAATTATGTTGCTAGATTTTTAAGCTCAATATCAATATATAATTAAATACATGTAAATATTACTGTGATTCATTCTATTATAGTTTGGCCATTTTAAAATTTTTATATTACTCTATCAGTGTATTTTTTTTTTCTTTTTTAGTTTTGCAAGACAGGGTTTCCCTGTGGCTTTGGAAGCTGTCCTGGAACTCACTACGGAGACCAGGCTGGCCTCGAACTCACAGAGATCCGCCTGCCTCTGCCTCCCGAGAGCTGGGATTAAAGGCGTGCGCCACCACCGCCAGGCTATCAGTGTATTTTATATTACATCAAAAAGTACATACTGAAAAACACTAGAAGAGTGGTTCTCAATCTTCCTAATGATATGGGCCTTTAGTATAGTTCTTCATGTTGTGAAAAACACTAGAAGAGTGGTTCTCAATCTTCCTAATGATATGGGCCTTTAGTATAGTTCTTCATGTTGTGAAAAACACTAGAAGAGTGGTTCTCAATCTTCCTAATGATATGGGCCTTTAGTATAGTTCTTCATGTTGTGGTGACCCTCAAACACAAACTTATTTTCGGTGCTACTTCATAATTGTAATTTTATTATTGTTATGAATCTTCATGTAAATATCTGTGTGTTTTCTAATGACATTAGTTTACCCTGTGAAAGGGTTGTTCTTCCCCTAGAGGGTTTGCAGTCCACAGTTGAGAACTTAGAAGTTCAAACTTTCTCTTTCTTTTTTCAGATTATAGCTTTACTGTGGATATGATACCTTAAAATTATGTTGTTTAAATTTCAATCAATTTGATTATGTTGAACTTGTAAGAGATTGTTTTGTTGTTATTGACAACTAACTATCCTGTGTCTTTAAAAATTGTTTGGTTCAGGGGCTAGCAAGATGGTTCAGTAGGTAGAGGTGTTTGCTACAAAGTCCATTGACCTGGATTCAGTCTCCAGGACCCATATGGCAGAAGTTTTTCTCTGACCTTCATGTGTGCTAATACATAATCAGTAAATACTACATGAAAATGTTGTTAGAGTTTTCAGTTCATCTCAGTATTTTTGACCAGCAGTACACAGTACTGGATGCACAGTAATCCAGAAAAGTTGTTCAAAATATGAAACTAAAACTTAGCATCTCAGATGGTAGGGTTTGCAGTTGTAGTATATGACCAAATCCGTTTGAAGGGACCCTCTTATTAGTCACTCTGTTAGATTTTCCCTGTAGTAAGTACTGAACTGCTCTTGTGACTTGTGTTTTACAGGATGGAGGATTGCTTCTGAATAACCCTTCAGCCCTGGCCATGCATGAGTGTAAATGTATCTGGCCCGATGTACCATTAGAGTGTATAGTATCCCTGGGTACAGGACGGTATGAAAGTGATGTGAGGAATGCTGCAACGTACACAAGCCTGAAGACCAAGCTTTCTAATGTTATCAACAGTGCTACAGATACAGAGGGTTAGTGTCTTAGTTGGGTTTCTGTTGCTGTGAAGAGACACTATGACCACAGCAACTATTACAGAGAAAAGCATTTCATTGGGATGGCTTACAGTCTCAGAGGTTTAGTTCATTATCATCCTGGCAGGGAGCATTGCAGCCTGTAGTCAGACATGGTACTGGAGAAGGAACTGAGAGTTCTACATCTTAATCCACAAGCATCAGGAAGTGAACTGTGTACCATACAGGGCATAGCTTGAGCATAGGAGACCTCAAAGACCCCTTGCCCTTCCGCAGTTACACACTTCCTACAGCATGGCCATATGTATGTTCATCAAGGCCACACCTCCTAATAGTACCACTCCCTGTGAGCTTATGGGGCCCAATTACATTCAAACTATCACAGTTAGTTTTCCTGTGCTACCTTGAGACCCTTCAACTTACAGTGTTTTGATCTGAGTAAATGTGATCTGAACTGTGAAACTGTGGTTTATGTCTGTCTTACGTGCTTAGTAAGCACATGGGAGCTCCTTAGCCTTCACTTGTTGAGTGACCCTGAAGAGACTACTCTCTTGGATGCTAGTGTAAGCTTTGCTGTCTTAGAGAAGTATCTAACGCTGATCTGGCACATAAGCTCAGGGGGAGACTTCCCAGTTAAGAAAAGGAAAAGCAGCAAAGGTCACATGGGTTTAAATGCTCATGCAATAACTGTGAAACCATTGGATTTCAACAAGTGTGGAAGTCACCTGGCGTTAGAATACATTCTTGTTTCTACCTTTGGTGCCCTTTAGTACAATCTTCTTTAAAAGGCCAAAGAGGCCCATTTAAAGTCTATTTAAAATATCAGCTCTCTAGGTTTCCTGTCTGTGAAACAAAATCCAAAGCTGTCTTCCACTAAAACTTGGCAGACCATGTAAGAATGAACCCTTGAATGTGCTCTCCTTCCCCACATCAATTCTTACTACTCTCCATACTTTCTAAGAACTCATGGGCCTCCTGGGCTCTGCTATTGCTGCACTGTCCCTAGAAGACTGTCCAGATACATGTGTGGCCTCTGCTTCATTTAGGCCATCTGCTCTTAAGAGAACTCTCCAGACTACTTCTCCAGCTTCTTCACCCTCTTATTCCAGCCATTTACTTACCTAACTGCTTCTCTTCCTTTCTCCCTCACAAAGTCCCTGTCTTCTTATGGCTACATAGTATATATTATATATTTCACATCTCTCTGTGCTGTTAGAGTATAAGACAAAAGGTGGAAGTATATTGGTGTTAAAAGAGTCCTTGCCTGACATTTGTAAGACCCCGAGATTCAACCGCAGCAACTTACAATGCAAAAATGCTTATCTTGCCTTATCCACTTGGTGATTCCAGTTTCTAGCACATATTGAGCCTTTGGCAAGCATCTGTTGAATTTTGAATCCTAATCTTCCTGCTTTATTTTTAGATTCTAAAATGTGTTATTAATTTCTTAAAGTAGCATTTAACAGTTTCATGTTTAAGTCAGTCTCTATCAGCATGTCTTTAGTTAAATCTTAGTGAGGTTTTTCACCTGTTAAGGATTTTTATCTTTTAAAAGATTTTTTCACTATCTGAAGTTGCATCAAATTCATAAGACATCTTTTTCACTTTGTTGAGGTCAAACTAACAAAAACTGTATATGTAAGGTATACAACTTGTTTAAGTATACTCTGTGTAATGGTTGCCACAAACAGGGTAAAAAATGTTTCCATCTCCTGGTGTGATTAACTCTGATTACCATACAACAGTTATCTAAACACTAGTATTTGTTCAGTTGTAGTAATTGAAAGTTTATATCCATTTAACCAATATCTTCACCATCTTCAAACTCCAGGACAGCTAGCATTCAATACCGTCTTTTTCCCCCTCAAGCTTGACTACTTTAGATTTTACATACAAATATCATGTTTATTTGTCTGTATGTATCTGGCTTGTTTCAGTAAGTACATTGTCCTTCAAATTCATCCTTGATGTTGCAGATGACAGGACTTTTTTCCTTTCTTGAGGCTAAAATCCTACTGTATGTAAAATATATATTGGAATGCATATGTTGACTATTGCAAATACTTCAGTGAACATGGGATAACAAATACCTCTTTAAGATTCTGATTTCATTTCCTTCAAATATATACCCAGAGTGGGATTTCTGGTTCAAATGGTAGTTATATTTCTGTTTCTGTGTAGCACCTCCATATTGTTTTGATAGTAGTTTATGAGTTTGCATTCCTACTCTTTTTTCACTTCTTCAGTAACACTTATCTCTTATCTTTTGATAAGAGCCAACCTTATAGTGTGACTTTGGTTTTAATTTGCATTTGCGATGATTCAATACAATTTTCTTATGATAGGCCACCTTCTCAGACATAGTCTTTAATGAACCAGTCTCATACTGCCTAACTCTATATATTTCAGACAGTGGTGAGCTCTTTTGGAATTTTTAGATGTGAAATGTTACCTCATTGTACTTATCTATCTTCTAATTAATGACACAAATATAGGAGTTTAATTGTGATAGTTAACTTTGAAAACAGATACAAGAATTACATTGGAACATAATAACCATTGATCATAAATTGTTATTAAAATATAAAAACATAACAGGTTTATATGGTCTACTCTAAGCAATTATTGGTTAAGTGGTGAATGAATATATCTATATGGCTGATTAAGAGGAGGGCAAGACAACATGATTCTGTTCCTGTATCATTCTTTAAAAAGGAGGAGGGTAAGGTATGTTTCACTGGAGACTCAGAAACCTTTGGAGGTCATAGGAATGCTCATGACTTGTGATAGTAAAACAAAAGTTTATCCATTACCAAATTTTTCAAATTAGACAATGAAAACTGATGAATTTTAATATGTATATCGCCCAGTAAAGATGGTTCCCCAAAAGCGAAAAGCAGAAGGAAAGTAAGGCATTTAACAGGGGGAGTAGTCAAGCAAGATCCTTAATTGGGCAGAATATATAAAGTATTTGGAAAGTGGGTTGCAATTTGTAGATTTGTACTTATTATGGATTCCTTGAACCTGTCTTGAGTTGGGGTGATAAAAGAAGTGCATGTCCATAGTGTACCTAAAATGAAGAATCTAACTTTAAATGAAAAAAGTTAATGGAGCATTCCAAAATAACTTACCTCACACCTCTTTTCTTATCCACCCTCTCTCCTTCATTTTTGTTTTAACAGAAGTCCATATAATGCTGGATGGCCTGTTACCTCCAGACACATATTTTAGATTCAATCCTGTCATGTGTGAAAACATACCCCTAGATGAAAGTCGAAATGAAAAACTGGACCAGCTGCAGCTGGAAGGGATGAAGTATATAGAAAGAAATGAACAAAAGATGAAAAAAGTTGCAAAGATATTAAGTCAAGAAAAAACAACTCTACAAAAGATCAATGATTGGATAAAATTAAAAAGTGACATGTATGAAGGCCTTCCATTTTTTTCAAAGTTGTGAGTAGGGTTCTCATAAACGAAGGCCATCAGAAGATCTACCACAGTGAGGAACTGTGGGCTTCAACTTTCTGTGGGATACTAAGTGAGTTCTGGGAAATCCTGCAACAGCTGATGCTTTGAACGGCCTGAACCTCACAAATGATGTGTGGTTACAGAAGTCATATGGCAATTAAATATTTAAGATGTTCATAACCTTAGGCATTTTATTACTGTGCTAGTTGGTTTTAGTATGTGTTGGTCTTAAATTGTTTGATGTTTGAAAGTTTATTAATATATGTGCCAAACAAGAAATGTGGTGTTATTCTTTGTGCTTTGCTTTTAGTCATATCAATCATGTGGAATTTGTATGACAACTGATTTTCTTTTATATCAAAAGCTGATTTCTCTTTACATTTACACTACTCAGCATCTCACTAGGTGCACCTACAGTCCACGTGTTACCTTTTACTGTAATATCATTTAAAGAGATGTAGAAAATGGAATTTTCTCTGTATGTTTGAAATAGGAAAGAACTAGATGCAGTTTTCTATTTTAAAAGATTGGTGAATTTCTAGTGAGCTAACTTTCCTCTTGAAATTTCAAGATAATGTTCACTTTCCTAGATCGAATGATATCTTATCACTCACTGTTACAGAAACAATTGTTTGGTTTTACTGAGAAAATATTCTTGTCATTAACAAAAATAAACTATTGAAGTGATCAGCGGTGCAAGACTAATACCACTTAAAATTTTTTTATTGTTTATAATGATTTCCCAGTTTCCTGTAGCAGTTAGAAAGAAATGTTAGTCTAGTTAGATTTCCTACAGTAATCCTTTTACCTGTCAGGGTTTTACCTAAGTCAAAACCTGGTTATGTAGGCCAAATAAATTCTTTGCTGTATTATTTCCTTTGTAAATCTTTAAATTGTGTTGAAATTTCCCTTGAAAAACTGAAGCCAAGGTGTGTGCCCTTTGCCTTATACACATAAAGTAACATTGACCCTGCTGCCCATGTCATCATGGTGCTTGTGGTGCTGGTTCACGGCTTGATGACATGGCTGAAAGCTGAGGAGCAATGGGGGATGTGGGTGTCAAGGTGCTGTCTGCACAGTATCCTGTCTTCATGACCGTGAGGAGAGTGCACAGCCCGTGAGATGCAGCTCTTTCACTTGTAAAAGGAGGAAAGGCAATTGTCAAATTTTGTGACTTCTCTTCCATGTTTAGGAATAAGATAAATATGATTCCGGTGATTTCAGAAGCTGCTAACTATGTGGCCCACATCGTGAGGTTCTCTTGTGGTAGCCTGGGGCAGTCCATGCTTTGTAGCTTAAGTCAGCTTTTCTTTTCTATGCTTTGCTACTCATTGACAGGGGTATTCGATGCCCGGCTCTTTCTTCAGCTACACGCTTGAGTGCTACCTATGCTCTTTTGTCCTAACAAAGTGTAACCATTTGTGGTTTTGATTGTTTTTATCCCCACTGGCACTTGATAACTGGTTATCCAAAGAACTGAGTAATTCCCTGAGATAACATTCATTCTACAATGAACGCAGCTGTTTCCAAAAGCAAGGTGCTAGGGCTCAGAAAGGTAGAGCTAGGAACACTGCACACTCAGATAGACACAGTTTTCTTAACTAGAATGTTCTTTCCTGGAATGTTGTAGAATGACTGCAGATCCAGCTAACAGAACTGAACCTGTGGTATTGGGTTCACTCTCAGTATTCAGTTTTGTGGACATACCTTGTGTCTTTCTTTAGCCATCCTGGGCACCATGGTACCATATAGTGGTGCTCTCCTCATGATGACACTTCTAAGCGGACTCTCAGACTGTGGAGAAGGGCTTAGAGGAGATGATGCCTGCGCTTTCTTACCCAGCATGCCGATATTGCAGTCTTTCAGAAGGAGCTGCCTGTCTACAGAATGGTCACAAATGCCCACACTGAATTTCTTCTACAGGAAATCGAAGATGTCCTCTGTGTAGTTAGGATGCAAAACCCATTTGGAAAATTCCACTTTGATTCCATCCCAACACATTCTTTTACATTCATTGCACTGTGTTCTTTTTTTGTTGTTGTTTCTTGCCAAGTTTAAATACAACAGAACTGTTCACTTGATTTGGCTTTTTGAAGCAAATCTATGGCAATTACTATTTCATGACTAGGAAATAAGAAGCACATTAAAAAACAGTTTGTTCTGTTCTTGGCAGGAGCTATCTACCATCCAGAAAGGATTCACAGACTACAGATGCCCCTGGACTAGACTATTTGCATGTGTCAGTTCACCAGTTTGATACATGTGTCTCTCAGAAGTCATACTAGTTGTTTTGTTGGGTATAATCTGTATTCAACTGATGTGAATAGTTCAAATTCATCACACCCCACAGGTATCCATTACTAGTTTGCTTAGTTAATTTGTTAAAAATAAAATATTGGACCAATGAGATGGCCCCGTGGGTAAAGGCACCTGCCACCAGGCTTGGTAACCTGAGTTCAATTTCCAGAATAAAATTGATCCCTGATCACCATACAGGATGCATGGGCATGTGTGCCAACATGCCCATGCATGCACACACAGTAAAAATAAAACAGTAAGCAATGGTATAGACCCTAAATCAAAACAGTTAAATCAGAGGTGGGATAATTGGTACTTTTCAAGGCTCACTTTGGCTACATGGTGAGTCCAAAACCAATTGGTTTTGCAAGGCTCAGCCGCAGAGGGGTGGGGGAAGTAAAATATTGACTGTAATATTGATTTTCCTTCATTATATAAAAACTGTATTATACCTTATTCTTTGCTTTTTAGGCACCACAAATGTGAGGTGTGACAGTTAATATTGTTAGCTAATCCTGAGTCACCTAGGAGGTAACTGTGAGCATGCCTGTGAGGGATTATCTAGAATAGGTTACTAGAGATGGGAAAACCCACGGTTATGATAGTACCATCCTATGGTCTGGCATCCTGGACTGAAGAAAAAGAAAAGAAGCTAACACTAGCATTCATCACTCTGCTTTCTGGCTGCAGATGCAGTGTGACTACCTGACTAATGTACCTGTCTCAGGGCCTAAGTAAACTCTTACTTAAATTGCCTTTTTTGGATATTTTGTTGCAGCAACAAGACATGGCAATAATACAGATACATTTTAAAGATTATAGTCTGATTTAATGTAAACAGGTTAGGTCATCAAAAATGGATGATAGTTTAATAGCTGACATTTGAAACAGTCTTCATAAGAACATTACAAGTTATAAGTATTATCACTATTCTTAATCTATGTACTATCACTGAGGTGAAGAAAGTACAAATTGGTTTTTGACTGTTTTCTCAATGCCATGGGGAAGTTAAAACCATAATATGATTGTGTCTATAATAATCTTTGCAAAATTAATAACTAGTATTAAAATATTGTCATTCTTTCAGATACTATAATATCTACACACTTAAACACCTGATTTATTAATGTACTTTTCAATGATCACAGTAAAAATATATTTCGTAGGAGAATAAAACAGTTAACAAAGACAGAAGTGATAACTCAGCAGTTAAGAGCACATACTGCTCTTCCAGAGGACCTGGGTTCGATTCTTTTTTTTTTCTCTCTCTCAATGTATGTTTTTATTTAAATTAGAAACATGAATGCTCCACATGTCAATCCCAGCTCCCTCTCCCACCCCTCCTCCCTTATCCCTCCACCAGCCCTCCCAGCCCCCCACCCAATCCCCACATCATTCCCCAGGGAGGGTGAGGCCCTCCTTGGGGGGATCTCCAAAGTCTGTCATTTCATCCAGGGAAGGACCTAGGCCCTTACCCATGTGTCCAGGCTGAGAGAGCATCCCTCTATTTGGAATGGGCTCCCAAAGATCATTGATACACCATGGTGAACACTGATCTACTACCCAAGGCCCCAGTGATTTCTGTGGCCTTGGATTTGATTCTTAACACCCACATCAGTAAGCTTACACCCGCGAGTCAGTTCAGCTCCAGGGACATCTCATACTTCTGGCTTCTTCAGCAACCTGCACTCATAAGTATGCACCCACAAACACAACAAATACATAAAAGTAAATATCATCTTTGTCATAAGTGGTGGCAAATGCATTTAATCCCAGCACCCAGGAGGCAGAGGCAGGCAAATATTTGAGCTCTAGGTCTTTTTTGTTTACTTAGTTCCATGACAGCTAGTTTACATAATAGACCCTATTTCAAAGCAAAACAACAACAAAATCTTTTTAAATAACAGTCAATAAGTACTCTTTCTTAAAGCACATACTACTGCTATGTTTGTGAAAGACAAAAAAGTGGCTGGAGACAGTCCAAAAGTCCATCCCACTATCTACAAGAAAGTACAGGTATATCATCTCATTAATTATATCCCATTGAATGTTTATTAGTTCAGCAGTAGGCCTAACTATGGAAAGCAAGGAGGGCGGGAGGGATATTTTTCAAGAAACTTGACAGACTAGAGAAACTAAAAAAAGGGAAAGTGATTTTTATATAATACACACACATATATAATATATATTACATATGCCCCTAATACCTTGTTAAACAAGAGTTTTATCTTTCTCTTTTATATTACTGAGTCATCTTAATCCTCAAAAATAGTGTTCTAGGGTAGCAATCATTTTGCTTTTGCGTTGATGGTAACATATGACCAACTCTCTCAAGTTGACCAAGTAGAAACCAATGAAGTTTCCATCTCTCTTTGCTTTTCAGATTAGTCTTAATGTGCTTTTTTTTCTATAATGCTTTTAGAATTAAGTCATTAGAACAAACTTGTTCTATTCTCAGTCATTGAAAGTATATTCTACATCACAGGTGCTGTTATTTTTCTGGTTTTGAATGACAATCCTTAACAAAAGGATACAGTTAATCAACATATATGGATGCCCTATGTATCCCTTGCCATGCCTGATTATGTGGAAAATGCCCAGTGCTTAACACTCAAAACTAGAAACAATGAAATATTACACTTCGTTAGTCCGATTTACCTGTAGATAGCTATAATCAAGAATTACATGCTTCAAGTGAATTTAGATAGTATAGATTGACAATAGCATTTTCATTTTTTAGCACAGAAACTTCAGTAACAGAAGTTGGTTCTTTCCTTCCACTATGTGGGTTCCAGAGATGGAATTCAGTATTTCAAGCTTAGCAATAGGCACCGTATCAACTAAGTCATCCCACCAGTCCAAAAGGTGTCTTTCTGTGGTACTTGCTTTTATTTTTGTAAACTGTAACTTTTTTTGTTTGTTATCTAAATATTTTTTGTCATCTCTATTATTGTCTGTATGTTGTTTCATATTTTTAATGGATCAAAGTTCCAGGGTAAAGAATAATGCAGTGAGCACTGTAGTCTACATGTAAAAATATGAAGAGAGTTCAGTGAGTTGGTGCATACCTCTAATCCAAGTCCTGAGGAGGCAGAGGCAGGTAGATCTCCTGAGTTCAAAGATAGCCTGGTCTACAGAGTGAGTTCCAGGACAGCCGGCGCTACACAGAAACCCTGTCTTAAAGAACAAAAAGCAAACAAAAAAATGATAGAATAAAGTAGGTTTTATAAATATATGGTCTTTCAGTTTCATATCCATTTTCTCTAAACCTACTCATAGCACATGGAAGGTAATTTGCTTCGTATTCACATAAAGGATTTCAGTATATTGAAAAATGGGATACAGTGCAGAAATTAGTAACAGACATCAGATGAATCTTAACAGATGCAAAAACAAACAAAAGCTGTGATATAGTTCAGTGTCCATGCTAAAATCCCTGAAGAAACAAGGCATAGGAGAAACATACCTTAACATAATAAAGGCTATATGGCAAACCTCTAGCCCTCATTAAATGGGAAAGATAGAACACATTTCCTCTAACATCAGGAATAATACACGTGTACTCTTTCCACAC